CCTGTACACAACCCGACAAATTTGGGGGGTCCTGTCGCGCTTCCCTCCAGCGCGGTCCACAGGACACGGATGAGGCCACTGCCGGATAGAACGGCTGCTGTTTACAGAAGCTTTAAAAGCGGGTGCCGAGCGCACACTCCAAAAAGGCGACGAAGCACAGCAAACACACACCAGCAGCAGTCGCCGTGGGCACCATGCGGTGGGTGGCACCCGCGTCCCCACGAGCCGCGAGGGGCGCGGTGCTCTGCGGGCACCAAGGCTATGACGTCATTGCTCTGCGGGCACCAAGGCTATGACGTCACTGCTCTGAGGGCACCAAGGTTATGGCGTCACTGGAGACGCGTGTTTCCTTCCATCACGCCCTCCTGGGACCACCATCCCCAGTCCTCCCGAGAGGCCCTTGCGGCACACCTCCCCCCGAAGTAGGATAAGGCATTGGAAGTCATCTTTGCCGTTTTCAGCTGTAATTCCCCAAGTTTCAAGTTGGTACCCATTTGTGTAAAGGAAAAAGCTGTACATAAGTTAAAATAGAGACAATTATAAACTTAGCGACGCTGATGGAAGCTTAAACCCGCTCCTCACACTTAGAGAGAAGCGCTGCCATGTTTCCTATTTGAAAAGCTAAGGGCTCACTGACCGGCTGGAGGGAAACAGGTGACTAGAGGGAAACCCTGGTTACTCCACAGGGTAGACTGGCCAGTACCTCCCTCTAATTCATCTGCAGTTTAACATCTTCGCTTCAACAGTAAATCCATTTTGACATATAATTTAATTTAGGGCCAAACTCTCTCCTGGCAACTTACCATTCAGAGCCCTGGTCAGCCCCTGGCTGCCCTCTGAGGTGCCTGCCCGGCCTTACCCCCGTGTTTGCAGACGGAAATAGAACCTACAAATTGCTTTTAAATTACCGAAATAAAAGTGAAATGTTCAGTGACCTTTTTTTAAAATTAAATCTTTATTGTTCAGATTATTACATTTGTTCCCCTCCCCCCCCCAATAACTCCCCTCCTCCCAGTTCCCACCCCACCATCCGCCCTCACTCCCCACCCACTGTCCTCATCCATAGGTGCACAATTTTTGTCCAGTCTCTTCTCCCACACCCCTCTCCCCCCCAAGAATAGTCAGTCCATTCCCTTTCTATAAGTGACCTTTTTATTATATGAATATTCTTGGGGTGAATTAACTAAGTCCTGAATAGCAACAAAAATATATTATTCAGATATTTTATAATTCTGATACCTGAAATAAAGTTAGATAGAAAACTATGCTAAAACATTAAAAAATTGCAAATTTTCATGAAAAGTATTTACATTTGTATTCTAATGCCAATTTATACGGATAATTCTTTTAAATTAGATTGATAGGCTATTCCAAAATATGAAAATAACAAAAAATTGTTAAATACCCACAACATACTCATAAATAAATTCAATTATTACTGTTCCAAATTCAGATGCTTACGTAAGGCTGACAGAGCACACAGTTCCTTTTACATTTTTACCCTGATTCTTGGTTCAATAGTACATAACTCTGTAAAGCTTTCATGGCCACGAACCACGGCCACGGATCATAACACCACAAATGCATGAAGCTTCTGTAACCAGCAAGACTAACCTTTTAATATTTTTATTTTAAAAACATTTTTATTGATTTTTAGAGAGGGAGGACAGAGAAACATCTATGTGAGAGCAGAACATCAATCGGGTGCCTTCTGCACGCCCCCTACTGGGGATGGAGCCAGCAGCCTGGGCATGTGCCCTTATGGGGAATTGAACTAGCAAACTTTTTGGTAAATGGGACAACGCCCAACCAACTGAGCCACACCGGTCAGGGCAAGACTAACCTGTTTTAAATGCACCTAATTTTGTCAATCATTAAAAACTAAACATTCTTACAAATATTTTTAGGTTATAACATATAGAAAACATACCTATTTCTTAAAAGTTTTGGAGAGAAAATAATTGCTTAGTTAACTTTTCTCATTATTGTTCTGTTTAAAAAAATGTTTTGTCTGTATTTCAAAAATGGATTAGAAAACGGCCAACATCTTTTGAAGCCGAAAAGGATCGTTGAGTGGTCATCTTGGCAGCTGTATTCCGCTTGGTCGAGGAGCCTTTTACCTGTCTCCCCACATTTTAGTGTTTCTTTAAAGGTAATTCCGTTGGTCAGTCTCACAGTATCTCCAGCCAACCATACGAGACGGTGTTAATTTACCAAAAATGGTGATAGGTTAGTGCGAACCCGTGGTTGCTAGCGTGGCCGGGGAGTAAACCGCTCAGATAGCTGTTAGTTGACGTGTTCTTGTTCCCCAGGCTGGGAACTAGAAAAAGCGATACCCTAGCTGTGTGGTACAAATGTCATCCCTTCCGGCGGCGTTCTGATAGCCTGCCGTACGCTCGGCAGTGGGCGTCGGGCCCCTGGCCACAGGAGGGGACGGAGGGGGCAGCCGTTGGGGTGCTGTGGGGCACCACCTGGACGGGAAGACCTGGGTGTGGCCTAGCAGGTC